CCCCAAAACCCCAAAACCCCAAAACCCCATGGAGATGAAATAGCATCAGATTTTAATAAGAAGCGTGAATTAATTATTATAAATTAAAATAAATAAAGCAGATTTATATGGGAAACTTAGCAGGCAAATTAGAGGATAACTTTGATTACATCAATCAAGGCCAAGCTTATCAACCCAGAAAAACAGAGTCCTCAATTCATGGGCAGGACATGGAATTTAGCAATAGAGAGGGTTATTTGCAACATAGGACTTAACAATTTTCAGCATTAGAGTAAATACTCTCCAAATAATATTTAATAGAACTAATTTGTATGTCTCCTGCAATCATTACAAAAGAGAAGGTATGAATTAAGTTGATTATAATAAGAGTTTTAGGAGAGCCATTCTGTAGTAAATGCAGATAGTCAGTTTCTCTAAGAGATTCAAAATATGATTAGGACATTCACTTACAGAGTGAACCTGGCTAGGAATAGAACTTCTATGCGCCACAAACAAAGGGAACAAGTGTAGCACCACTAAAGTCAAAAAAGAATTTGACTATTGACACTACAAATGATCCTGCGGCCTAGTCCACTATGATTGGCTAGCAGGACGAGAGTCAAGCAGCTAATATAGACGTAAAGCCACCAGTTTTGAAGGACTTCGACATTGTGAGAGTCATTGGAAAAGGAGGATTTTCCACTGTATTCTAAGGTAAGCATTATGCCCATCAGATTTATTAACATCTAATGTATCATTCCAAATAATTCAATAATTTTGACGTATACTATTTAGTGCGCAAAAAGGAAGAGGGTTCTATCTATGCCATGAAGTGTCTCAAGAAAGAGCAAATTAAAAGGGAGAACAAGGTGAGACATGTCATGAATGAAAGAGAAATCCTTTAAAATGTGAAACATCCCTTTATTGTAAAGATGCATTGGGCATTCTAATCTGTAAGAACTACTCAGTTATATCTTATTTATCTTTTAGGAACATTATCTATTTATAGTACTAGAATTCTGCCCAGGAGGAGAGATATTTTATCACATGAACAAAGTCTTAAGATTCTCTGAGAGAGTTGCTAAATTTTACTTTGCAGAGATAGTTTTAGCTCTTGAGTATCTTCACCAACACAACATATTCTATCGAGATCTGAAGCCAGAAAATATCCTGCTAGATCAAGATGGACACATTAAGCTAACTGATTTCGGTATTAGCAGAATCAACTTCACTGAGCGAGAAAGATCTAACAGTTTTTGTGGAAGTCCCGAGTATATGAGCCCAGAGATGCTTAGACAGGGTAGAGTGCATGGAAGATCTTTGGATTTCTACTCGTTAGGCTCGCTTTTATTTGAAATGCTAACTGGACTGCCGCCTCATTTTTCTGAGAATAGAGATGAGATGTATAGAAAAATACTTCATAATAAAGTTGAATATCCTAAATATCTATCCCCTATGGCAAAGTCTCTATTGAAAGGCTTGCTAGTCAAGAATCCAGAGTAAAGATTAGGTTCTGCTTATGGGATTCAGGAAATCAAAGATCATCCATTTTGCATGGATATTAACTGGGATGATGTCATTAATAAGCGACTTCTCCCGCCAATCAAACCCTCTCAGAAATATTCGAATTTCGATCCTGAGTACACTAATCTCCCCGTAAGATTTACCTATGAGGAGGACTTTCAAGAACCTGTCCTGAAAAGAAGAAAAAGCGATCCAGGCGGTGCTTTCGATGTATATTCAGCACAAATCAAGAACACAGGCAATGAAATAGTAAACTGGTTCTAGTAAGCCTTCATGTTTCCAAGTCAAGGTTCTGATCAATAGCTTAAAGATAAGTTCTATTAGCATTTAGCTTCTCAAAGGGGAACTTAAAACTTAGATGCATCTCAATTCATTGATCCAACATTGGTATAGGTACAAAGAGGTGTATCTTAAACATTTAGAGGATATTCTTTCTTAAAGAACAATGAAAACTAGACAAACTAACAGTTTATTGATCAAAATAGACTATCAGATGCAATAATAAAACAGCAATTTAGTTAAGCCAGTAATCAGCCAACTGATAATTTCCATCCTGAAAACATTAAGTCATAACTGTAGTAACTATCCCACTAGTTCCCAAATATCTATAACATTCCAGATGATTATATATTTACTACAGGAGGTTAAAGAAGCAGAACAGTAAGTTTCGCAAATTAATCTATGCTTACTGAGGGCATTGAACAGAAAAATATATATGCTATGAATTTCTAAGGTTTTAATCAACTATTTTCGGACATCTAAATCAAGGCTAATGAGACTGAATTCAACTCTTACAATGCATAATTTCTTAAAAGATGGAAAATGATCAATGAGATTGATTGGGAAAATACTGGCCAGTCATTCATTACAAAATTCTTCAAAGAAAAAAATAGTCCCTATACTCAGCATCTAGCTGGCTAGACAAATAAGTTTTCTGGAAAGGAGCTTAGTACTTGGGACTACACTAATGTATAAATAAATATGAATAAAATACCCCACATGGAAGAAAATAAGATAACAGAGCAAGACTTAGAAGCAGATAATGAAATGATTTATAAGCCACCTAACTAGGAAAAAATTAATGTGGACTAAAAGATAACTTAGATACTGATTTAGGACTAAAGTTAAAATCTAGACAAGTACACCAAAAACTTGATTATATACAACGATGTCATAAATAATGTAAAGAGCGAGAGAAAAAGAGCTCCTAAGAATTAGACTAAGAAGATTCAGAGTAGGCAAATTGATATTATTGATAATCAAATAAACGATAAAATTATAAACAAAGATGATCCATTTTCATTGACCAGAGGCGAAAGAAGAAAGCCTGTTTAAAGTGTGCATACCAACTAAAACCCATTGTAATTTGGAGAAAACCGTCGAAGAATAGACAGTAACTACTCTAAGAAAAGTGGAGGGGACAAGGATGATCACAGTAACATTGCAAAGCAGCACTAGGACAAGAGCGCAGAACCATTAAGAATTAAGGATAAACAGCAAAGTCTAGAGCCTGCAATCATTAAATCGAATCATTTGGCTTTAGATACTGGTAGATTACTTTCAGCCAAGAAGTAAAGCATCGGCAAATCCTATCAAACTCATCGAGAAAAAAGAGACTTATAGTAGATAAGCGAAAGCAATTTTACAACTAAAGGATCCATTATCAAGTCAAGCGATAAATTTGCTAGCAACACTAATTCTGTTAGTAATTCTAATTTTCCTTCATCACCAAGGAGCAAACTAAAATCATCTGTAGTCTAATAACAAACAGAGAAAAGATCAACTGTCGGAGTAAATTCTAAAATCTAAAAGTCATAAACAGTTACATTTAGTGCAGGCAAAGATAAATAAAATGTTAACTTCAAAAGTAGAAATGCTGGCTCTGGTCAGTAAAATATAGCATCAACCGGTTCAGAGTCAAAAACTTTTAGCAAATAAGGTTCAGTCACTTAGAGAAGAGATTCTGGAAAGGATTTAACCTCTACTCCGAATCCCACTACTTTTAAAATGAAGGCTACATAGCTCGAACAGATTAATGAAACTGAGCACCTTGACTATGGAAATACTGATCTACAGAACTAAAAATCTTCCTCAGGAATTGGCCACTAACTTTAAAAACTTCTAGATTCAAACAACAAGGCTGCTGTGAATAAAGATGTTAATTTACTGAGCGATGAGAAGAGGTAGAAAAGAGCTCAAGGTTCAGTTTTATCTCCACCGGGTAAGAATGAGATGGACGGTAAAAAGCCTTTCTTAAAAGGCTTTTCAAATAGCATATTGACTCCAAAGGGAGCAAGGCTTAAGACTAGATCCTTGTATGATCCTGCAACTAAAATCCTAAAAAAGAAGGATGAAGAAGACAAGCAAGCTTTTGATACTACACTTTAAAATTCATAATAATTTGAAGATAAGTAGCCAAATAATGGGTAAGCCAGAAGTAAGAGCAGCTCTTCTTTTGATGATTTGGAAGAAAATGTTGATGAATTCATGTCAAATGAAAACTAGAACTTCTAAAAAATTAAGAATCCCTCATTGATGTCGTCTATAGTAAACAACTCATCAAAGCATATTGAAAATTCAGGTCATTCAAGCTCTGTATTGCAACCTAACCCTTCATACTTTTAATCTATACTAATGACTCCCTAACATAATCATAACACAAAGACAATTGCTAGTGTGAATGCTAAAAACCATATCAATTAGTCAGCTGGAAAGCCCACCAATATCACTTCACTTTAAACTGAGTTTAAAGAGTAGAGCATGACTAACACATTGTCAATATCACCTCAAAGAGCAAAGAAGAATAGCATGCATACATAGTTTGTACCTTTACCTCTCTCAGACTTAAAAACATAGAAAAAAAATACTAATAATTTAAGTCCAGACAATAATGAAATTGACAATCAGAGAAAAGGCAAGTCAAGATCAGTTTGGATGGAATCAACAGTTTTGAAAAACAATAACTTATTGCAAATACCGATGATGTCTTTGTAGACTTAGAATGACTCGCTTCAGCCTAGCGAAGTAGCTTCAAGATTAACAACCAAGATTGGACACACTTAAAGGATTGAGGAAGAGGAATATGAGCCAGTCAGAGTTATGATGTATAACGACAAACCTGTTAGATAGTAGTCTAAGGAATCAGTGTAAATGAAGCCAAGTAGAAGTTAGAAGAAGTTCAACAATGGTCTTAGCGGGGGTAATGCCAATAACAATAACTCTGGATCCCAAATTGGGAAAATTCAAAAGAAATGAAAGATATAATCGTTAATTATATGTAATATGATCATATCACATCTGACTTGCATTCAAGTGAGTGTGATTTTGAAATAACTATTAACTAAGATAGAGTGAAATCTTATAAGTAAGTTTTGGAATTTTCATAATAAGTTTTTTCGTTTATTCTTGATTGACTCATATTATCTTTCACGGGGTTTTGGGGTTTTGGGGTTTTGGGG